AAGTCTAGTCTCCCCAGATTCCAAAGCCCCTGTTCACAGCATAATCAGAAGATAGCAGTGAGTGGCATTGTATGAGCCAAACAACTTGCTGAACAGAGGTAACAGCCATCAAAAGCATACATGCCTACATGCGGCTTCTCTAAGGAGCTCCTTGCATTGTAGAAGAGAAACACATACTGAAACTTGGGTTTTTGTGGGGCTGGAGAGATGGCTCGGCAGTGAAGAGGACTTCCAGAAAGCTCTTGAAGAGGATACAGGTTCAGCCGCAGTACCGCATAGCCAGCCACCATCTGTTAGTCAGTTCCAATGGATCTGATGTCCTGTGCTGACCTCTGGGGGCACTGAACACATGTGGCTCACACACATACACACAGGAAGAACGCTCTAAAGCAAAAACAAATAAAAGCATTACAATTTAGCATCGGAGGGCAGCATGCAAGATAAGCAGAGATCAGCCTGAGACAAAACAGCACTTAGAACCGCTGGTGATGGATGAGAAGCAGCGGGATGCTCAGAGTGCATGACCTTTCCTGGTCTGCAGAGTGAGGTGATGGAGATGGGTGACGTTGTATGTCGCTGTAGGGTGAATAGAAGACCAAAGAGGTGCCCTGACCCCCCCCCCCCATAGCCACACCGCTAGAACATGGCCAGAGTCCTCAGAATCTTCTGGATGGCGTTCCTACCTCTCCAAACCACTCTGGGGCACGGTGAGAACAAGGCTGGCAAGGGGCAGAAGTGGCTCTGGAATTGCACCTCTTGAGGAGTCCTGGGCCTGATGCTCAGGATGATAAATAGGGACAGCTCTGGGATCCAGATGAATGTCCACCAAATGCCAAAGAATGAACTTTAACTTGCAACTTCGGCACACGCCCTCCCAAACCCACTTAGAGCTGCTTTCACAAAAATCATATATGTGTCAGACAGCATATTTTTTTTATAATTTAAAACTTGCAAAAGAAAATTTACATTTTCTTCTTAACGGGGTGCTTTTTATGATTTTTCTCCCTCTTAAAACATTGATTTTGGAAGCATAAGTCCCGCATAATTTGAAATTAAGCCCAACGAATTGAGCCCTCTTGTGGGCACCATAGGTAACTGCATGCCCAATCAGGAGGGAAGCTGTCTGCCTTTGTGCAAACCACTCCTGACCCCCATTTCTGCTCTTCAAAGTCCTTAGCATTTAGGAAGCTTATTGGGCGCCACCTCCAAGTAACTTCATGACAGAGGACCTGTCTCTGTCTTCCCCAAAGCCTTGTGACTGCCTTCTCTGACTGAGCCTCTTCTCCCTTCTGGCTCCTGCAGGATCTCACACTCAGCGGTTCTGTCCAGTAATGACACCCACTGCCGCTTTCTCCAGAATGTGTTTTTAAAGGCTTCTTTGATGCGTGAGTGTCTGCTTTGTTTTGTTTTTATAATTCAGTTCAAGCCTCCTTCCTTAGTTTTCAAGGATGTGTGCTGTTTTCCTTTTCATTTGTAACAATTGTCTGCTTTACACAGGTCTCTGTTTAGGACTAGGGCCCAGTCCCTCAGTCAGGCTCTCCATGGGGCAGTAACCGAATCCAGAGTGCATTATCATCAAACATGTGAGCTAAATGATCATTTCTCCTAAAAAGCTTTAGATGGTGAATTTACTAGTGAAAGAAAAAACCCACAAAATAACTTCTAATTTTGCCTTTGGTGAAGGAATAAAATGTTAAAAAGTCTGCAGAAACTCACCCGTCAGATCGGCTCTCCCTACTCCAGGCCCTTCTCACAGCTGTGATTTCAGAGTCACAAATGACCTCGCCTGTTGACCTGGAGCCCCTCCTTCTTCCCTTCCAGCTTAACCTTCCTTCCTTCCTCATCCTCCCTCCTCTGCTCAGAAGCCTGCTGTGACTGACTGCTTACTGTACTAAGAACAGACTTCCTGAGAATTAAAAAAAAAAAAAAAAAATGCTAGGCGTGGTGACTCACTTGGGAAGCAGAGGCAGGTGGATCTCTGTGAGTTTGAGGCCAGCCTGGTCCACAAAACGAGTCCAAGGCTACACAGAGAAACCCTGTCTTGAAAAACCAAAAACATAAACAGATTTGCATACTGTGACCCTGCTCCTAGCCTACCTCTCATCTTCCATGTCCTTCCTCTTCCACTTCGCCTTTTGCTAAGTTTGGTTCCTTCCTCTTGGGTGATGTATCTGCCCCCCCCCCCCCCCCCCCCCGCATCCGAATCTCTTGAGCACTACACCCCAGCAGAGGAGGCCCTCAGACAGGAGCACAGGTCCTCTGCTTCCTCAGCACCCAGCCTGGAAGAGGCCCTCCAAGGGGTCTGCTGATCTGGCTGAATCACAAAAGGCTGTTTAGCGTAGCAAGGAAGAGGGGCCCTCCTCCGTCCTCCCTGCATCTGAGAGGGGCAGGGAAAATGCGCTTGCAGCTGGAAGCTTACCCACAAGAGCACCTGCCACATTAGCGCTTCATCTGACACTGGCACTCATTTCTTCAAGCCCCATCTCTGGACTCATCTTCTTTCTGCTGCAGGAAGCTGAGGTTCCACTCAATCCTGAACTTGGATTTGCTCCCAGTGACCAAGGGCTTGAGGACTACCAGCCTAGAAGCGGTGGACGCTGTATGTAAAGGACAGCAGCCTCTACTTTGGGTGTGATATCTCTAGGCAACCACCTTCCCATCCCTAACACTTATCGTTTCTCCTATGCTTGGTTCTTAGCAATGCTGTCCTCCTCTTCCATCTCTCTCTCCTCCTTTCTTTGTCTTTTCCTCCTCTTCTTCGTCCTCCTCTGTTGGTCTTTATCCACCGAATTGCCAAGCCCTGTCTCTCTCTGAGGCCTCTCTTTTGCCCATGCCTATTTCCACACTCCCTAGCACTGCCTTAGCTCAAAACCCATTGTCTCATTCTCCCTGATCCCTGCACGGTGACCTTTCTAAAGAAAATTTATGTGCTCTCACCTCTTCAGCTTCTTTCAAGATAAAAATAAAGTGTCCATTATTTGATAAATGAAACCAAGGACAATATTCAGCCTGAAAGCTGCTGTGGTCTACAACATACAGTAGCATAGGGTAGCCCAGGGCAGGGCCATCCTGGTCTCCACACAGTGTCTGTGGTGTCTTTGGTTGTCACAAGCAGAAGGCCTCTACAGTCATTTAGTAGGTGAAGTTCAGAAAAGCTGACAAACAGGAGGTACAAGACAGCCCTGTGACAAAGAATTTCCTGAACCAAATTCATCAAGGATTAAGAACCATTGGTCTAGAAACAAAGTCCCAGTTCCGCTACTTGGAGCTGAGTGGAGTTGCCACGAAAGAAGCCCCATATATAACACTGGAGAGTGGCGACAATTAACTGATTAAAAGCAAAACGCCCTTTAGGATGATACCGAGTATCACCAAGGTGTAGGTGACACAGGTGACGAACATCAGATGATTGCTGTCAGTTCTAAAGTGTTCTTGTGACTGTGGTCCATGTATGAGAGGCACAGGGTTCACCTGTATACTTTGCCGCCGCCACCCCAGCTCTGGGTGTCCAAACCTAGGGATTTCTGTATGCTAGCCAAGTGCTCTGTTATCAAGCTGTGCTTTCAAGCCCATGATTCTCATTCTCTGTCTGTCTCTGTCTCTGTCTCTGTCTCTCTCTCTCTCCTCTCTCCCCTAGCCACTTGGCCTCATGGTTGCTAATGACACCCTTGTGGTAGGAGTGAGAACGGGCCAGAGCTGGTTGCCTGGCTTGTCCATGATTTTGGCTATTATGAATTGTCTTTCCCAGATGGTCAGGTGGCCCAGCTCTGCCTGCCTGTGCCTAGGAGACCCCCAAACTAGTGTGACCCTCTTCTTCCAAGGCAGTGGCTCCATCTTAAGCTAGCAAGTTAAAAAGAAATACAGAATCTGGGGGCTGCAGAGATGGCTCGGAGTTAGAGAGCTCTTTCTGCTCTTCCAGAGGTTCAATGCCCAGCACTCACATGGTGGCCAACAGAGATCTTTAACTCCAGTACCAGCATGTACACTTTAAAGTTTACCCCAGAAGCTCTGATTTGGTAGTTTGAAGTACAGCCTGGGCACCAGGTGTTGCCAGAGATCTTCAGGTGCCGGATTACACGGCCAGGTTGGCACCTGCTAACGAAGCCTTCCCTGGTCTCCTCGCGGAATTGCTCCTTTCTCCTTTCTCATCTAGGTCCTTGTCTATGGGGCTCCTCTCAAAGCCCATAACCCATGTGAGAGTCACTGACAAAACTCGATGCCCAGGCTGAACCCGGTTTTGAATCAAGATGTCTAGTTAGAGTCCTGATGTTGGTGACTGTGGCTGTTCCCCAAGGTGACTCCAATGCACAGACAGGGCTGGCTATTCGGCCTTTGGTGGCAATGCCTGCTTCTCGACTTTCTCCAGCTCAAGTTAGTCTACAGAAAACCCATTATCACCTACTTTCTGTATCTCGATTCCTTTATTTGGGGGCACCCTAGAAGGTTTGGGGGCTATTTGTCTCGTTTTAATATCTCACCTATATCAAAGGCAAAATGAGTAGTTGAACAAATAAATAGAAGGCTACAGAAGGATTTATATTCACTCTCTCTGAACTTTTTCTTTTCAGTTATTTTTTTAAATTATGTATATTTGTATGTTGGAGAGGACATGGGAGGGCAGTACCTGAACAGGCCAGAAGAGGGCACCAGATCTCCTGGAGCTAGAGTTTCAGGCAGTTGTGAGCCCTCAACATGGGCGCCGAAATCCCAACTCAGACCCTTTTGTGAAGGCAGTATCATACTTAGCCAGTCCCATTGTTACGACCTTTACAGTCACAGGAATGGCATCATGATTGGGTTGGTTTCAAAGAGCAGCTAGAGCGGTAAAAAGAGTCTGAAGTGTCTTTATAGAGTCTGAAAGTCATTATAAAATCATAGATCCCCAGCTGAGAAGAGGACCTGACGTCTCAGGATGGAAGTTGAAACGAAAGTAGGATGGTTTACAGAGCACAGTGGCGCACGGATTTAATCCCAGAACTCAGAATGCAAAGGTAGGGGAATTTTAATTCCAAGACAAAGCTATAGCTCAGAACTACACATTGTTTCAAACAGAAGAAAATTAGGGGAGAAACAGCAATGCCAAAACATCCATAAACTTCTGACATCTTTATTTCATAAACACAGCTTTGGAAAGGAGCATAGACCTCAATGGTCCTGCTAAGCAAGGGGCTCTGAATAGGGGCCACTGACTTCTTCACAATTAGGATGTCAACAAAAGCTGATTTACTTTCAAATACTGTTCATTTTTCAAACACCATTTACTCCCCAGAGGTAGGCTCCCATCACTAATTCAGTAAATGTAATGTTATTTCTTCTAACGCTGTGTCCATGGAGTTCTGTACCTACTGAAAAGCTGCTTGGGACACGGCCAAGGAGAGTGATCATTTCTTCGAAGACCTACAGTTGATGAGAGTAGCTCCTGAGAGGCCGCACGTAAGCCTTGTGTGTCACTACGTGTAGATGCCCAAGGCCTTCTCTATGGCAAGGGTATCCTCTGAGGGAGGTTTCTTGAGGTCCAGCATGGTGGTCGACCTGTCCCTGGGATTCCCAGTAACGAGCATCCAGTGGTTCTTGGGTTTTTCAACTCTGTGTGAATCCAGATACGTATGAGCCGCAACCTCAACTTCCTTCCCAAAATAAGTCCTGAAGCAAAAGACAGTGGACCCCAGTTAGAAACTGAGTGACAGCGCACCATGATTGTTTGCTCATCCCTCCTAGAAAATTCCTCTTGACTCAGACATCTCTACAAAGTCCAAGAAGGCCCCTAACTTAAAAGCCCCTGCATCCGCCTTGCTTACAGAGGATTAGGCACATAGGGTCTCTTTTTAGCCAACATCTCCACTGGGCAGGGCTTTACTGAACAACAACATCAAATTTCTGCACAAAGCACAATGTCAGCATCATAATTCATAACTATGGTATTTAAAAGTATCAGATATAATGTCAGTCCATTGATAATATGTGGGTGGTGTAGGGATCTCTGACAAAGTAATTCTCAAAGACAATACATTAAGTTTCTTTAGTGTTAAAATGATGTATTCGTAAAATCAAGACTGTTTCGAATTTAAATTTTACCCAATCAAGATTCTGGTGATAAACATATAGACCACCCCTGAATTTAAACTAAATTTTGTTTTTGCCCGTCTTAACCAATTTAATAACCTGTTTCTGAATTACAAAATAAAATGTCACTTGACAAAATGAGATATTTGATGTGCCAACTGAGCATCATAGAGCAGAATACTCAAATGATGTTGAGCATTAACAAGTATTTCCACATAGTTGACTTGCTTAGTACGCTTAAGAGTAGAGGAAGTCAACAATAAATGAAAGCTAAAACTTGGTCTTCACATTTAAATGATTTCTTATAAACCTTGGCAATAAAAATAAACCAATGTTGTTGTTTTTAATTCAACACCTAAAGACCTTTAGCTCACACGACTGGACACGGAGTTTTAGTCAAACATCTCTGCTCTTATATGCATGGCCCTGAGCCAACGAAGGCATTCTCCTGCACCTGGCAAGGTGATACCTTAAAAAGAGATGGCGGTGGACTACCAGGGCTCGGTTTGTGTGGCAGTGGTAGATGACAACTTTTTCATTTGCCTTTAAAGGATAGAAAAAGAAAATGCTATTAGCATTCTGTCCAGTTTCCTAGAAGCAAAAAGTCTAGAAATATATAAACATATCCGTTTCAATATAGAACCTAAAAGGCTGGGGACTATGACAATTTTGATGAAGTGCATCATTGTCGATGTCTACAGAGTAGGAGAATCATTCGGGGTCATATTGAATAAGGCTTTTTTTGACAATGTGAAATCTAGCTGATGGCGTTAGGTACACACACAAACAGCTCCCATTTGTGTGTGTGTGGTATAGATAACTTGTGTGGGTGTATGCACACATGTGGGGTGCCTATTGTACATATGCGTTCGTGCATGTGGAGGCCAGAGGTGACACTGGGTATCTAGCCATTGCCTTCCACCTTATTCTCTGAGAAAGGATGTCTTACTAAGCCTGAGCTGATCAACTAGACCGGATGGCCAGAAAGCCTCAGGAATCCTCCTGCGTCTGCCTCCCAGCACTGGGGATACAAGGTAGGCGCTGCCTCACCTGCCTTTCACATGGGTGCTGAGATACAAATTCAGACCCTCACACTGCAACAGTAAGACTCTACCCACTGAGACGCCTCTGTAGCCACTCATGATGTCATTCATATAGAGTCTCTGCATATATATTAAGATGCATAGAAAAATAGTAAATGAAGTGGTTGCTTCTGGAAGGCTTGAACTAATACTGATGGTTTTCGTATTTGTGCTATAATGACTCTGAAAGTGAATATATTGTGTTTATAACTAGAAAAAAAACATAACTTTCTGGGCACTGGGAGCTGGCTGTATACCGCACACCAGCCTGGAACTTATCCTATCCTCTTGCCTCGGCCTCTAGTATGTTGGGATTACAGATGTGAGCCACCACAAGTGGACAAATAAATATAATGTTATAACTCTGACTCTTGTCAGGTGAGCGCTCTCAAAAGGAAGAAGGGCAGGCTTTGGCTTGCAAGCTTCTCTGGTACTAAAGGCCTTGCCCTCCTGGTGAGCAGAGTCCATTTCACAGAACCCCACGTCAGTTAATACCACTATGCTCAAAATGGGTCTGGACAGGACTAAGACCATCCCAGTCACATATGAATTAACAAAGCATGACCAGCCACCAAGCCAGAAAACTCCTAGCAGATAGGTATGGCCAACCGTCTTCCTTCCTTGCTTGCTTGCTTTCTCAATAGTCTCAGTCTGGCACCTGTCTGCTCTCCCTTGAGAGAGGAGTTGTTGGCATGCTCAGTTGTAAGATCTCCCTTGCCTTCCTGTCAGCTCCCAAGCTCCAGCGATGCCCCCCACTACTGGAACTGTCTCCAAACACTAACCAAAGTCTCTCAGCATCCTTCCTGACAGCACTTGCTTGAGGCACCCCCACTTCTCCAATACGCATTTGCCCTCTCTCCACAGCTGATGTACCCAGCTTGCTCAGCCATAGGTGCAGCCGGAGGTCTGCCGAGACAGCAACAGTGTGTGAGGTAGCTTGGGGAGGCCTAGGCTCTCTCTTTGGCAGATATGCAAGCTTGCCTGAGTGAGGGTCAGAGACTTTGCCTGGACCACAAAGGTGAATCATTCGTGGAGCAACGAATTCCTACAGCACACTACTCCCTCAAAGGAGCACAACCAGAGCCACCAGCAATGAGCTGGCTACTGCTCGGGTGACCTCACAAAACTCCCTAAGGAGGTAGCATGAACGCCACTAACTTACAGAGTCCCTGACTGGAGGAAATGAAAACCATATCCACTGCCGTCTTAGGAAAGCCAAGCTAGAAGAGGATGGCTAGAGAGAAGAGTCTGCCAAGCTGCCTTCCTTATAGATAAGGTGAATATCCTTCACCAGGAAGGATAAACCTCCCAGAAGCCAGGGTCCCCTGCTAAAGCTCTGAAGATATAGACCCACTGTGTCAAGTACATTCAGAGTAGCCCGTGACTGTAACCCTTCTCATGGCCAGTCATATAAAGCTTGTTGATGACAGATGCTCACAATTATTCCTAGTAAGTCTTCCCCCTCCATGTATAGCAAAGCCTTGGATTTGAGAGGTTGTGAGCTTGCTCTGTGCCTGGAACCTGCCAAAAGGACCATGCCTATCCCCTGGCACTTTTGTTCCAGAATCTAAACAAGAGTGAGAGAGGAGGGAAGGAAGGAGGAACAGAAAAGAAGGGAGGAAGAGAGGAGAAGGGAATAGAAATAGAGAAAGGAGATCAAGGTTGGAGGAAGGGGAAAGGAAGCGAGAGGGAAGGAAAAGGAAAAAGGAGGAAATGAAGAAAGAAAGGGAGGGCAGGAAAAAAATGAGAAAATGAAAAAAGAAAGGGGGAGGGAGGGAGGGAAGCAGGCTTACCCAATGAGGACTATATGTATGGATGAGGTTGGAAAGCTGTATTACATGTTGGGATCGCATGTAAATCTGGCAGCTTGCACTGGGGTTGCCCAGGGCTCCTGGGTACAGAGCTAAGGGTGATTCTAACCTGCAGCCAGGGTTAGAGACAGAAATGTGGAATGCTGCCTCAGACTGGTCCTACCCACATTTGAGTTATAAATGAAAGAAAAGCTACAGTGAGCCTCTGCTTGAGTGACAAGTGTGAGGCACAGCCCTTCTTTGCAGAGAGCCCAGGTCCCAGTGTCCCATGTGCCAAGCTCACCATGACTGGGAAGCCTTCATATTCCATGCGTAGCTGGGGGTCGAAGAAGACAACCTGCCAGCAGTTCATATGGGAGACCTCATCTGTCAGAGTCACCTCCTGGAGCCAGGACTTCTTAGCAGATTTCAGAAGGGTCCTGTGTTCACTTGTTAAGTACAGCTGGAAACAGCAGCAAACACACGATCTGAGTCACGGCTACCCAGAAAACTGGGGAATAGGCTACCAATGGGACCGCACTGCCAGCAAGCCCAAAAGCAGTTTCGAGAGCCCTGTTGCAAGCCATCCTATGAGAAAGCACAACTCTCCTCTCTTACTCTCAGAATAATATCTTACTTCCTCTTTTCCTTCCTCCCTCCTTCTCCATATCCCTCTTCTCTTTCTTGTGATGGTTTAAATAAGAATGGCTCCGATGCTCTTAAGTTTGGATATTTGGTGAGACTGTTTGGGGAGGATTAGGAGGTGTGGCCTTGTTGGAAGAGGTTTGTCACTGGGGTGGGCTTTGAGGTTTCAAAAGCCCATGTCATTCCCAGGTAACCCCCTATCTTTCTGCCTCCTGCTCGAAGATCAGCTACTGCTCCAGGACCACCTCTGCCTACTTGCCGCCATTCTCCCTGCCATGCTCATGAACCCTTAACAATCTGGAGCTATGACCCTCCAAATTAAATCTCTTTCTTTCCTAACTTCAACAGAGGAAGAGGATCCAGGCAATCCTAATGAGACTTGATAGGCTAGGGTCAGGTGGTAGGGAAGGAGGACTCCTTTCAGTGGACTAGGGGAGGGGAATAGGATGGGAAGAGGGAGTTATGGTGGGAATGGGAGGAGGTGAGGGAGGGGACTACAATTAGGATATGAAGTGAATACGTTCAAAAATTTTTTAAAGAAATTAATTTTAAAAAAAGAGCGAGGTAAGACATTTTTCATACTCCATTTCCTGCTCCCCTTCTTTTTGAAACCGTGGGGCCTGGGTCTTTGTCTTATGCACTATAGGTAACATTGCTGAAGCTGGGCACCTGAGATCAGATAGTTGCCGACCTGGAACTGCCACAGCTGGCACTTGCTCGTAAGTCTACATGGCGACCCTGACCACCTGGAATCCATGTTCCCATTGGGAATAGATGTCAGCTGCACGCTATGCTTTGCCAAAAGCTGGACCATCCCACTGGAAGCCCAGGATGTTCTCTCTTTACTAGCTCTTTGATCATTCACCTTCACCTTGAATGTAAATGTGGTTTCTCTGTCTTTTAACAAGTTTTCAGTGTGCTCAAAAATTTTAGACTTATTTCAGTTATATGTCTGAGTGTCCTGTCAGTATGTATGTATGTTCTCTGTGTGTGTCTGGTGCCCGCTGAGGTCAGAAATGGGCATGGGAAACCCTGGGACTGGTTGTGGGCCACCAGGTAGGTGCTGAGAACCGAACCCAGATCTTCTAACAAATGCAGCAAGTGCTCTTAACCACTGATCCCTCTCCTTGGGCTCTTGTAAATGCATTTTATCTGTGTGGCTGTGCTTGAGACATGACCAAAAAATGTGTAAGTTATGGTTCTCTGTACATTTTCTACCCAGCAAGAGAGGAGATGGGCTGTGAATAAGAGAAGTATCTTGGGCTGGAGAAATGCCTCAGCGATTAAGAGCACTGTCTACCCTTTCAGAGGTCCTGAGTTCAATTCCCAGCAACCACATGGTGGCTCACAGCCATCTATAATGGCATCTGATGCTCTTTTCTGTCATTCAGGTGTACTTGCAAATACAGTGCTCATATGCATAAATAAATAAACCTTTAAAAGTTAAAGAGAGAGTAGAATCTTGTTACCCTCTTGACATTGATTGTCTCTTACATGACTGGTGATTACCATGGTAGCACTGTTGGAATAAGAGGCTAAGTGACAGGATCTTAGGTGTGCCTCAAACTAACCAGGTCTGAGCCACAGCTGGCACTGAGAATGAAAAGATGGCTGATGTGTGCTATGGAGAAAGAGAATGAGCTGGACTTGGGTGAGAAAGGACCTTGCTGCTGTGACATTTAAAAACCTCCAGACATCATCATCATCATCACACTATCAAGATCCACTGTTACTATCACATGTAGAAAGTCATAAAACCTGACCAAGATCTAAAATGCCTTCCTAAAGGAAACTGAGAGACACCTCACGAGAGCAAAAACTTCAAAGCTATTAATAAAAAAAAAAAAAAAAAAAGCATTCAATTTTGCAGTGCCAAGCAAACACAAAGTGACTTTTCCTGCAAAAGCAGAGGGATAGGAAAAAGATAATTATTGCATTTAGCTCAAAGATTAATTCCTAATGTAACTCAGACAGAGAGAGATAACGGGGGGGCGGGGGGAACAAAGACCTGTCAAAGTGCTGTATGGCGCTGTATAATTACAACACCATAGTCCTAGAGTAAAAATAGACGACTTCAGTGGATCAAAATAGAACATTCAGGAAGAGTTTGGGGCGCATACGATAATTTAAAATATGCTGGGGGAAGCACAGTATGTCAGGAGGAAGAATTATTCAAGAGGTTTCATGAGAGATGGATGGACATTTGAGAAACTTGGGTGGAAACCCCTTACCAAAATAAATCTTACGTGTGTTAAAAAAAAAATAAACTTAAACAAATATCAAACTGCAAACATCTAACAATTAACACTTGTTTCTATTCTTATCAGATCTCTAACAGGCTGGACCTTAAAAGCAATGGAGGGATAAGAAAGTGGCTTAGTGAACGAAAGCTTTTCCTGCACAAGCCTGGTGGCCCGTGTTTGGATCCATGGAGCCCATGTAAAACAGCTGGATATAGTAGTGTGTGCATCTTGCCCAGCTATCCTGTGGCAAGATGGGAGACAGAGATGAGAGAACTGCCTGGAATCCCATGGAATACACGGTGTGACAACAGAAACAAGAGAGACCCTGCCTCAAACAAGGTAGAAGGTAAAAACTGACTCCAAAATGGTGCCTTATATGCACATTCACACACGCACACACACACAGAGACATAACTTCAAAGGAAAACTGATAGATTTCGCTCAAAAATACAATTAAACAGGTACAATTTAAAATGGGGGAGGGAAACAAATATTAGCAACATACATACAAAATCTAATCATCTATCAAAGGGCCAATAGGTAAACCCAAATCAATTCAGAGGCAAAGAACACGCTGTTCCCAGGGCGAAAGAATAAGGAAAACAAAGAGAGGAGGGGAAAGTGAAGCTATAGGAGGGGGAGGACAAAATTACAGGGAAAGATACAGGTACGGCAACATTTAGTTTTTCCTGTTAGTTTTCCTGTTCAGATTAGCAAAGATTTAAATCATGATGCCTGTCACACTTTACTGTCATTTGTATTTACTGTTGCTGAGAGAACAAATTGGTATAATCATTTTTTTTTAAAAAACTGGTTACATGTTATCTCTAAAAAAAAAAACAAAAAACAGAATCTCACATTGTAACATGGGCTCATCGGGAACCTGTGGCGATCCATAAGCTTCTGAAATTATAGGTGTGTGTCACCATATCCAGCTTTCAGTACCTCTAATTGTAGTCACATTCTTAATATCAGTAATTCTATGCCAAAAATAAAATTATTCTAAAGATAGACTAACTAGGGTTGGCGGGGGGTGGGGTGGAGGGGAAGCTTTAAGCATTTACACATAGATACTCATGGAACCTTATATGTGACATAAAAATGGAATAACAAACCCAATTGGTTAGGTATGTTGGCGGACACCTGTCATGTCAGTACTCAGAAGGCAAGAAGTACACTAGTTCAAGGGGAGCCTTACCTGATTAGTCAGACAAACAGGGGAGGAGAGGAATGGGGAGAGGAGGGGAGACAAATATAGTCGGCTGCCCGAACATAGAATAAAGGCTGGGTAGCTACAATGCTGCCATACAATATACAAGACATATAGAAAAGCACAAATAGAAGCCAAACACTTGTGTGCTGGTCTCTGGGTAAAACACGCCTGTCTCGATGACTTGGTGTTCCAGTTTTGCATCTAAACTCAGAACACAGATCACCACTTACACGTGGCATACTTTGACTGGAATCAATGGTTTGTCTCTGTGATACCAAAAAAAAAAAAAAAAAAAAAAAAAATGACGATAGAATGTCACATCAGAAAATACTGGAACCTCCCATTTATTGAAATATGTTGGTTTTACTTTTCTCGTTGTTGTGAGCAAATCCTCACAAGACACAGCATGCAGAGGGAGGGGCTTATTTGGGCTCACAGTGTAAGGAGTTGGTCTCTCATGGTGGCGAAGACTTGGCAGCAGGAACAGCTCATGCCTGTTCATGTGGCCGTACTTGTGTGGCCACTGATTACATCTCAGTGGACCAAGGAACAGGGAGATTGGGCTGGAATCCGAGAGAGCTATAACTCATAAAGTGATTGCAAACCATCTCCTTCAGTTGGATCCCACCTCCCAAAAGAGCACCACCAGTTGGTAACTCAGTGTTCAAACACAGGAGCATATATATATATATATGGGCATATTTCACATCCAAACCATAACAATGCATATACAGTCCCAGCTCTGCCAGTTAGTAGCCGAACTTCTAAATTCCCAATGTTCTTATGTCAGAGACTCACTTGAAAAAAAAAACGAATAAGCATGAAGCAACTATGCCATTGTCTACACAGTGCTAAAATTTTCTGAGTCACTGACTCAAATGGTTACTTTACACAAATCCCTGTTACACAGCTTGCGTGTGAAATCCTGGTTCTATTGTCCGTCGTGTTTTGTTGAGATAGGTCTTACTGAGACAGCCCAGATGAGTCTCATGGGAGTCCTTCAGTGTGAGCCTCTCAAGTCCTGGGTTTATTGGTGTGTACCACCATGCCTGGTCCATTATACTTCATAATCTCCAACATAAAGGAGGATCGCAGAGACTCAAGCTTCTTGACTTCTGAATACTCATATTTCTTACAAGGAATAAAACAAACAAACAAAAACATTTTTTTTTTGCTAATCAAAAGTTTAACTTTCCAGAGCTGGGCTCAGTGGTCCATGCCAATAGTCCCAGATACTTGGGATGCTGAGACAGGAGGAACACTTTGAGTCTAGGGGTTCAAGATTAGTCTGGGCAGTGTATAGCGTGCTAGTACTGGTGGAATGTGATAAATACCAGTTAGCACAATCATTTAGTTTTCTGTTTAAAGTGGTATGAACTTTTGCCTTTAGACTGCATTACAAAAAGATTTTTTCCCCCTTCCCTCCTTAGCTTTCAAGGGTAGCAGTATTGTTTGTTTGTTTGTTTTGTTATTTACAAAGTAAAGAGGAAAAAATCAGGTACAAAATGGCCACTGGAACCCACTGACTGAATCCAGCAGAAATGGTGTCCTCACTTGCCCAGTCCCTTCTTGGGATAGCTATTGTTGGAAAACAAGAATGATAGGTGACAGTAGGCACACAGGAGAACACTCACCATCTTGCTTTCCAGTCCCGCTACTATGCCGAGGCGGAAGTTTTGCCCGTATCGAAGGACTTCGCCCTCTTCCTCATCGCTTCTGTTCTCACTGTAGGTAAGAGCAATGGAGGAGAGTGAGGACTCTGCCTCTCTCCCACACTTTTCCTGACAGAATGTATTCACATACCACACTACATTACGCAACAAAAGTTCCTCTTCATTCTTTTTTGTTCACCATGACAACGTCCTCAGTCATCCCAGATAACATCAAGAGAGGCTGATGAGAACCATGCACTGGAATCGATCATCAATTTGTGCAAGACTCATTGAAATATTCTTGAGCACCAACTAAAAGGCATTTTTCTTGTATTAATCTATTCATGTCTTTATTTGGATATAGTAATAGGATGCCATTATGTTGCTGTTGGTTTTTCCTACTGTCCCTTAGCTTCCAGAATAATGACTCATGAAACTCATTAAATACTATACAAATACCTAGGCCATATAGCTAGGCTCTTCTCTGACTAGCTCAGAACTTAAAATGGCGCATTATACTAATTTACATTCTGCCATGTGACTGGCTACCTGAGTTCAGGCACCATGCATCCATCTTTCTCACGTTTTGTCTACTTAGTCTTCCGTAGTCTCTCTCTATCCCGGAATCCTTTGTGCCTAGCAGATGTCCCAGCCTATTTCCCGCCTAAGCTATAGGCCATAGTTTTTTGTTTTTTTTCTTAATTAACAGGTATTACATCCACACAACACAAGAGATTCCTTCTAAATTTGGGTATATGTACGGTTTGGGTTTTCGGTGTTTTCAGATAGTGTCTCACTCTGAAGCCCAGGCTGGCCTTGGACTCGCTATGTAGCTCAAACTGACGTGGAACCTCCAGGACTACTCCTGCCTCAGCCTCCTGAGAGGGCTGGGGTTACAGGCGTATGCCTCTACAGCAAGCTATAAAAATCTTCTTGTTTCAGCCTTAACATCCAGCTAGGATGTTATTTTGTGCCCTGCCTCACAGATCAAACCCAGAGCCTCCAGAATGAACTAAGCATGCCATGTTAGAATATGTCAAGTTCTTCTGGTCATGTGCACTGACATTTTACACAAAGCCAAGGTTATATCTCCGCAGGAATCTAATACAATCTTCCCTCATAATCTTCCAGGGAGTAAAAGTGGTCATCAACATTAAGTTGTTTTACTACAAACCCTCTGTACGCAAGAATATTTAAATGAAGGATGGAGATGACAGGTTCTATTCTTGTCACTGAAGCATTGTCACAAAGTCTCTAACAAAGTGATTATAATTGCAATTATATGTCTCTAACGGACACATTGATCATTTCTAAAACCTCAAGTCAATTTTCAATAGATGATTGATTGTAAAAGAGCAAAGCCCATCTGATGCAATCTTTTACTAAAGGCTGTATTTTTGTTTCAATGCTAAGCTAATGCCATCAAGAGCGATGCAAGCACTCTTGTGAGCACAAAGCATCCTGCCAAGTTGTTTGGAAAATCCTTCTGTGCTTCCATGCAGAATATAAGTTCAGGTCTCTGGATCTGATCATCATGAAGGTAGGATTTTGATTTGAACCCAAATAGCTAATTAGCCTGCTGTCTTAGACCAAGGCATGTAAAAGGGGCCTCAACAACATTTTTCAAGTAAGCAAGCAAGGTGAGACCTCAGAAAACATTCACAGAACCTTTGCCTGCAGCCGTCACTGCCTGATTCCTGTGTGTGTGTGTGTGTGTGTGTGTGTGTGTGTGTGTGTGTGTGTGTGTGTTTACATGCACAGTAGTATGCCTCAGGTGATGTCCACCTTTTAAAATAAAAATAAAAATGAAAAGAACTACAGAGTCTCTCATTTGGCCCAAAATTCACCAAGTAAGCTAGGCTCAGGAATCTGCATTCTCTGCCTCCCCAGTGCCAGAATTACAAGGATTACCACACTAGGCTCTTTTTTTTTTTTTTTTTTAAAGTAAGGGTTCTAGAGATCCAACTCATGTCCTCACACATATGAGGCAAACACTGACTAGTGCCTCCTCATCTCAGAGCATTTTTTAAGCTACAGATTCAAGCAGACACAGAGATGCTCTGAAGCTGAGTGTCTCTACCTCAAAATGATGAAGGTGTTCCTGCCTGTCGGGACCATGGACTGAACAGCACTCACGCCACAGGGTATTTCTAATTCATCATGAAGCTGGGATTTAACTTCATCTGGGCTCATGCACAGGGACAGGTGTCCTTTCTGAAACACAGCAGCTTCCTCCTCCTGGGCAGAGTCAGGATTCAAAAGCATCACCTTATTGCCAAAGTGAATATATCCGTCTTTGGATACTGAAAGCTCCATCTACAATTTTAATAGAAAATTTCCAATAAGCCACACAATTCCTTAGCTGCTAAGGCCAGGGCCCCTCCCAAGTTTACCTCCTTTGTTTTTTTTCTCAGACTAGCACCATTTCAGTAAGGCCCTCCCTCAGACCCTTAGATAGAATCCTTCCCTTCCACATTGCCAAGCAGGCTCACAATGACCCCAAACCAGATCAAGTGAAGCTGTTGGAATCCCCATAGTTTTCCTTTATCAATTTGTTCAACATGTGTTAAACATTTTTGTTGAGCAGCAACTGAAAGGCACTTTACTTGTGCAAGCATTAATCCATCCCTTTATTTGGAAAAATGAAAACATAAGTAAGTATACATAAACCACGGTAGACTTCCCTTAGTGTTCCTAAAATCTAGAGGAATTTCGAACACTATACTTTTCAGTTTAATTTTTTTTTAAGTATCCAAAATAGTTACTTGTTTATAGAAATTTTCCTTGCTTAAATCACACTTAACTAGACAGAATTTTGAAACTGGCATTGGGATTTAACATTACCGGTCTCACAAGATGCTTTTTCAGTTTTCTGTTTCTCTGAATAAGAAGTTCTCCCCTCTCCCTCTTCTTTAGGAACTCTTTCATGCGCTCCTGGGGATGCAAAGAGAGAATGAAGGGGAGTCCAAGGTAAGAGCCGTCCGTGGCAGAGCACAGGCAGCTCTTCCCGCAAAAGCATCTCAAGCGCAAAGACAATTTGAGAATATAAAAGGAAATGTGATTACTCGGGGACCGCAGAAATGTCCTCAGCATGTCATGGTAGAATGCTTAGAAATGAGAAGAGAAAAGCTCCGGGAAGAAAAAGAGAGGGTCCCTCTGTTTATCTCATCCAGGAACAACCAGGAGTGGTATCTCGAGGCCAGGGGTCTCTACCAGGGTCCTCCTGACTGTGGAATGAGCGTGGGGAAAACCCAGCCCTCCCTACACATGTGTAATCCAGAACCTACCAACAGCTAGGTGTGCTGCAAAGCTAGTGAAGGCAGAGGGGTAGAGCGGGGACACCCAGTGAAGCCGGGTGCTCAGAGGCAGCAGCTACCTCGAGTATGGCAAAGGTGGGGACACTAAGTGCTCAGCAGAGAGAGAGAGAGAGCACGCAGGGTAGGGTCTGGGACGCTAGGGACGCAACAGCGTTCTGCGTACCTCCTCCAAGCAAACGTCTTCGTTCCAGTTGCCCATCCGGACTCCGGGACCATACTGATTTTGCGCCATGGAGCCCTGCTCTCTAGGAAGCCAGCCTTTCCGGACACACCGCGTTAGCGGCGTTAGCGTGCCTCGTTGCCATGACTACCAGGAAGCTCCCGGTTGGTCAAGGTCTCCTTGGCTGGCCAGTAAGTGACAGCACAGGAGATGTGCTGGTCCCGCCTTGGGTTGCCAAGCACCGTCCACTTCACCCTGCTCCTCCATTCACTGCCTCAGTCTTAGAGGATCAGCACTACAAAGCAGATCCCGTCAAACCCTGGGGAGGACACTGTTCCAAGCGCTCCCTCGTGGGGGAAAAAAAAATCTTGAAACTTTTTTTCTGACCTTTTCCTTTGGTTAGGTTTTTAAGTCAGAGTCTGGATGGATATCCCAGGACGGCCTTGAACTCATTTCATAAAGTCCCGTCTTGAGCTGGAGATCTTCCTAGTGCTGGATTAACAGGCGTGCACACTACAGTAGGCATAAAATGTTGGGGGTTTGTTTGGTTTTGTTTGTTCGTTGTTTGTTGCTCTTTACATTGGGATCTAAGTTAAAGCATTCTGAAAGTACAGTGCCTCTAGCTTTCGGTGGAAGCATGGTTCAACTCCAGCCTATTTTTCTAATCCCTGTCAACAGCCATTTCACAAAGCCACACACCTTCTCTGTAGACCCTGGAAAACCAGAACATAAAAGGAGGGACCATTACTCACATTTCACAGGTTCCAAAAGAAGAAACCACCGTATTAGCATATTCTTCTGTATCCGTTTCCAAGACAGTCCATGGATGTTATAACACGCCTCCCTGCCATGTCCCCATGCAAGGGCAAACCTGTGATTTGCAGGCACTCTTAATTTAAACAAGCCAGCAAACAAACAAAAATAAAAGTTTGCTGTAGCCACATTTCTTAACAACAATATTGTCTTATGAGCAGGAGGAATATGTAGTTAGAACCGCCTGGTGCTGGCTGCTGACTGAATACATTCATTAATTCCCCAGCGTGAAGGGCCTCCAATACAGGCAAAATATGGGAGGTGAGAGACAAACCTGGCCAATCAGGGAAGCCAGACCCAGAAAACAAATTGTTTCAGGAGATTGTAATATACACAAGCCACTGACAAAGTGATGAAGGAGGAACTGGAGGACTTATGGGTCATTACTGCCATGGGAGGAGAGGGGAGAGTGACAGTTGGGCAGACTTGAGGGTAAAGGGTTCCTCATCGACCTGGAAGGACCTGAGCTGGGAAGCTGCAGCATGGGACAAAGAAATGGGAATATTTCGCTCCTTTGTGGCTCCACTGATTCTGCTTCCTCCATCACCACATTCTCAGGTACTTCTAAAGGGGCTAAGTCAGGCATTACATGGATCAGACACAAATCACTCAGGGTTTGGGAGAAACTGGAAACAGACTCGATGAAGCTAGCAGCGTCCCTAAGTTCAAACTGCTAAACCCGGCCTTGTAGCACACATTGAACAATGGTCATCGCGTGCAACTGTTCACACGGGATCATAATAGGATGAAAGCAAGCTGTTGTCTGGTGATGTCACAGCAGTGCCATCAAACCACAGAGCATCGCTCAGATACGTGGGGCGATGCTGGTATAAAAGAAAAACCTGCATGCTGTCTGCTGAACAACAGCACAGTACACACAGTTGTGGGTAATGCATACACATCGTAGTGACACTAAATGACAGTGTTACTGCCTTATTACTCACTATAGGGTTTTTCTTTTACCCCTATTTTAGAAGATCTGCCTCCTGCTTATTACAATGTACTATAATGCAGTGGGGTTCCGCTAGAAGCAGTCTCCTGCGGCTCATACTGGGACATCTCCAGGCTGTCTCATTTGCTCTTGGGCAGCTCTGTTCACTGTCACCCAAAGCATTCGAAGCCAATACTGGTGTTGGAGAGTAGTTCACATGAAATAATTGACCTGGAAACAAAGTTCAAAGCGAGGGTCTCTTTATTTGGTTTTTGTTTTATTTTGTTTGCAAAATTACAAATCAATGATGATTATTCCTCACCAGTCAGTCATGTCCAGATCCACTCCAGCTGCTCTCAAGAACATGAAAAAGGAAAGAGGCATTCCTAAAAGGCAGAAATACTAACGGAAATATGAGGCGGGGCAGTAGCGGATAGAGAGGAACTTCAAGACCTTGGCTTGAAGATCCGGCAATGATGTTTGCACGATGAGGCACTCACTTGACATACGGCCCCAGAAGTATCCCTGCTCCACCTAGGTATGCTGGCACATGCCTGTAATCTCAGCACTCACCGTGCAGAGGCAGAAGGATTGGGAGTTCAAGGTCATCCTCGAAGTAAGTTTGAGGCCAGCCTAGGTTAAGTGAAAATTCTCTCCAAAAGGCCTGAGAGTTGCAGGAAAGATGACTCAGAAGTTAAGAGAAGTATCGCTCTGGCAGAGGAGCAGAGTTCAGCTTTCAGCACCCATGCTGAACGGCTCACATCCTCCTGGAACACTGGTACCAGGGAATTTGGTGCCTCTGACCTCCATCAGGCACTGTTCTCAGGGGCACATACCTCCACACACAGCACACACCCGCATGTACACAGTTAAAAAAAAAAATAGTTTAAATCGCTGTTGGGATATAAAGGCAGGCAGATTTCTGTGAGTCAGAAGCTAGCCCAATCCGCTAGCTTCTTAGGCAAATTAGGGTTCTACACTGAGACCCTGTCTCAAAACACATGTGTGCATGTACACACGTGTGTGTACACACAATCACACACACACCACGACGATTTACTGTATCACATAGACTCTCTATGCAGATTTCTAACTCTAAGGTCAATGTTGTTTCCCTTATGTGTTTCCATGCTCCCCATAGGATTGGATGGTAAACAAGGAGACATTGAAGGCATTGGGGCTGGGCCCCTCTCTCATAGGCAGCAGCCTGTAAAATGAGAACCAAAACAGCAGGAGTTTAATTACCTGTCAGGAAAATGGGGCCCGAGTCCTATCTCTGGCCCTGGAAGGAGATGAGACATCCTAAACTGCCCGGAAAGTGATTAACAGATAACTTTTAAAAACTGACTCTAGGAATCTTAAATCTCAAAAGATTACTTTTATATCAAGGGAGCTTTCTCACAAAAATGAGACATGCGATTTCTCCTTCCTGGGGGAGACACACAAAGGGGCCTTTCAATCACTTGGACAAGACAAAGTCCTCAGGCCCTTTACGAGATTATAAAATATTTAGTTTATATACAATTACACAAAATTTTTCATTTACATTTCTTTAAAACCCTCAAAAACAAGACTTTAAACTGATATTTATTCACTCGTTGCTGACCCTGTGTGGTTGACTAAATCTGTCTCTAGCAACAGACCTGTCCCCCACAGCTGTGATTTTGACATAAAGCAACCATACACTTTAAAAAGTATTTACTATTTTTTTTTCACTATTTGATGAAGTGTAGAACACTTTCATTGCAGTCTTTGTTACTTACTTGTAAAATATCTGGTAGAAAAAAAAAGAAAAGCGACAGGAACACTTGAAAAGAATCATGTTCAGGAAAGAGAAGTGGGACAAAGTTCAGACACTGGGAAAAAAGAACCAGACAACATGCATGAGAAACAGATTATGGAAGTCCTTACTGGATGAGGATGGAATACAGGTCAGCTCAGGGTAACACTGAGAAAGGCAGGGGAAAACAGCTTTTCTACTAGCTGGACAAGCACAGTTCTCTCTGGGCCTCAGTGTTCCCTTCATTGATAGAAATGGGAGGTTACTGCCAACTCCGGAAGGCATGGCCAAAGGAGTCTGCAATGTGCTAATAGACATGAAAGAGAAAGAATCTGGTTGTCAAGTAAATTTAAGGTAGGAAACAAGTAGGATTCTTAATCGCAGGGCTTCTGGGAGTCATGGGTATAAGGCATTCCCTGGAAGGCTATGCCAGAGCTACAGCCCAAGTTCACTTCAACATGAAATCTGCTTCCTCAAGATCATCTCGTGAAATCAGTATTTGAAAAAGCACTGACTATACTTAAAATAAAATTTTTGAGACATGGTCCCGAGTAACCCAGGCTGGCTTCACGGTATAGACAAGGATGACCTTGAACTTCTGCTCCTTCTGCCTTTACCTCATGAGTGCTGAGATTCCAGGCATACGCCATCACTTGTGGTGAGCGATGCTCAGGATTGGATGCAGGGCTTCGCTTGTGTTACAAAGCACTCTACCCATTGAGCTAGATCCCCGGTCCACATAATTTCTTTAGAGATGGGCAGCTCCTTGTGAAGCCCCAAACTGGAGCATAGGACCCTCCTGCATGCGATTCCTGGGATGACAGGCATGTCCCCACCACACCCTGCCCAGCCCCCTTGAAACAATTTCAAAAGAGGAGAGCTGCTTTCTACCAGAAAGATACCATCAAGAACACCATTCTTCTAGTGCATCCCATTAGGCTAACTGAAGTCACCAAAGTTCTGGGCGGGACCAGCTCCCGGGGACAGCGCACACAGGTCTGCATGGAATTTATAGACAGCACCTGCGGCTCCACCACACCTAAGCTGAAATGTCCAGGACACGAGAGGGACGTGCTCACCTTGCTGGAGTCACAACAAAAGCCTGGAAGTTGTGCTGAACTTGGTGCTTAGATCCAGGTGTCCAGCCCCTTGGCCCGTGGGATGACCCACAACTGTTAACCAAATAGAGTTTGCCTGTGTAGGGAGAGACACAAGGGTAAGCTCTATTCAATGGGAAGTTGACTTCCCCTTGAAGAGTCCTTTGGTACAGAAATCAAGGTACCAGAAACGGTCTCACACTAACCGAATGACATAATTTTCTTTAATGCTTCGCACAACCAGCCCTTCTACTCCCACCCTCAACAGAGAACACACGATGCTGACGCAGCAGAAAAATCTTCCAGGTTTTTATGTCTCCATCTGGTTTTCCCTCCTGTTTTCATTAGACTCCTACCCTACAGGCAAGAACACCACACGAATACCATATATCTCTCATAAGCCAGGCACACACACCCCACCGAGCCTAGCAGTTAAGTTCCTTTGGACTCTTTCAACTGGATCTTGGCAGTGTTAAC